TGCCTCAAAAAGTCACTTTTCCATCGAAAAATCGCGTTCTAACGTAGCGGAATGTATTCGGGACGTCCAGAAGGGGCCCCAGCTCGATTCGCGTGAGACTACGTGGCACGGTTTCGGAGGAGATACGGAAAACGACACTTCGGCTCCTTCTACTATTATATAGTAGATTCCGTATGGGAAGAGAAGAGAGAAAGGAAGAGCGAGACGGAGATAGGGGGAGTAGACCTAATGTAGCGAGACCGAGAGAGAGAAAGAGAGAGAGAGAGAGAGAGAGAGAGAGAGAGAGAGAGAGCGAAAGAGAGAGCGAGAGACAATCAACGCGCTGTCATCGCGAACTTTGATTACTTTTAATTAGCTCGAAAAATCAAAAGCATGAAAAAAGATCGTTGGCTCTTTGTCTCCTTGCTTTTGAATTTCCGTAATAGAGTATATATATATATACGGCCAGCAGACGCTAATACCGGCATTATGCATGAGCTTCTAACGAGCACGCACGTAGACGTGTGGATTCGCTCTTGCGCGGCGATCCAAAGTTTGTAAACAGGAATCGATTATAATTTCGCCACTTATTCACCAGGAAGCTCATTAATCCCGCTTAATTTTTCACGCCTATTTCTAGTGACGAGGGTTATTGCGTCGCGCGTTCAGGCAACACGTTATTCACGATGGACGAGCAAAGAAACTATCAAACAAAGTGTCACGCGCGTCAGCGTCGCTGTGTGCTTGGGTGCTCCGAGGAGCTGCTGTTGTGTTGTTGTTTGATGTACCGTGCGCGCACGCACGAAAACGCACTCACGCACGCATTATACAAACGCACACGAAAACGCATACGCTCACGTGCACGTACACTCACACGCACACGTACATGAACACATAAACGTGGGCAGAGTTGACAGACACAAACACACAACATGTAACAGTTTGTGAGCGACGCACCCTGTGTGTGTCACCGATGTCGATTGCTGTTGCTCCCTGCGCGCGCATGAAGTAGCGCATTTAATACAATTATATCGTTCCTTCTCCCCCTTCCCTCTGCTCTGACGCAGGCATCTGATTCGATTGACATTAATTGCTGTACATGAGGGGTGAGCCGAGAGGAGTGCAGCACCGCTGAGTGCCAAGTGCTGCCTCGTGCACGTACGCCACGGCCACTCCGAGCTGGAGAAACCCATTTTACTCTGGCTTCTTCCTATCATCCTCCGGCGGTTGACCGGCGCGGGAGGGAATGGCGGTAATTATTTCACACGTGATGCTCGTTACGTGGTTATGCACGCCTCGCGCGACGCAATTCGCTACAGTCTGCACTCAATACGCAGTATCTCCGCTGCCTCGGTAGTCCAGCCAACCCCCCCAGTAATATCGCACAGGGTGACGCTGCAATGTCATGGGCAGCCCTGACCAGTTTCATTTCGTTCTATTACTATTACTATTATACTATTACTTTGAAAGTTTCGAAGCGGGCAGGCCCATCTTAATTCGCGGGGCTACTTAGTTTGGACTAGCGCGTATTTAGCCTATGGTAGCGTGTGCACACTGCAAAAATTAAAAGGGTAGCTAGCGAGAATGCATAGTTGTTAATGCTCGTACAATGGTGTGGTTGATAGAAGCAGTGATTTCACTTTCGTAATTTCATGGCGGCACCACCAGAGGGCGGTCTGCATAATTCCAAAATTAGAGGCCATTTTCGCCAGACAGGTCGTCGGTCGACAACCAACAAACGGTGACTCAATCGACTCCCTTTACGTATTTTCCCACACGTCGGTGCACTCAACAACGCTCGATGAGCGTAATGCTGATGTCGACATACAAATACAGCTTTTACTCGGGCGAATGCTCTCTTGGCTGAATCACCCGGAGAAAATGTCGTGCGCAGTACCATTAGTAGGAATAGACGCGGCAGCGCTGCAAAATTATTACTTAACGCGTTTACATTAATGCAGTAGAGAGATGAGCTGTTGGAGTAGCGCTGGCATTTCTCACACAGTCGCCGTATCCCTGGGTAATGTCGGATTCTGTAAATAATTTATAAGACGTCGCTGCTATTGCTATGCAACCTCCCCCCCCCTCCCCGTCTCGCCCTGTCTCTCTCTTACTCTTTCCTTCGCGCACGTTGTATGTCAAAATACGCAGTTTTATGGCGGGCGCTAAAAGCGCCAGATAAACGCAGGAAACTATCTCTTGTTGTTATATTATTATATTGCTCAGCGTCGAAATGTCGCAGTCTTGAAAGCTACAAACGGGAAATATGTGCGCGGATGCGACCGATCTGCGGTCGGTGGTTGGTTTTCTATAGAGCGCACGCGTCTACTCGTAGCCGTGTGCACAGACGTGTTTACGACCGCACGCACATAGGCAATCGATCGGTGATACTTGATCGCGTAGGCGACTGCCTACTGTGATGTCGATATCATGCATTTTAATTGCCCGCGTGTTATTTGCCTCGTCAAATTAGGCGCGCAAATGCAATAATACGCCGCAGAAGCAAACCCAGGTGGAGTGCTTACCCTACCCTGGGGTTTTAATTTTTTATTTTAACAGCCTATTTGATATGTTCTGTAGATGCAGTCGTGCGCGTTGGCGCTTTGCTATAAGAATATTGAACAGGCTCTTCATATATCACATATCTTAGCTGTGTATACGTATATCATACATGTAGACGGTTCATGCAACGCGTGGCGTGATATATATATATAATCATATATATATAGAGTATATATATTTCCATACACACACACACACACACACACACACACACGCACGCACGCACGCACACACACACACACACACACACACGCACGCACGCACGCACGCACACACACACACACACACACCCACGCGCGCGCGCACACACACACACACACACACACACACACACACACACACAGCGCCCGCATCTAATAACATTATGATAATAATTCCATCTGGACAGGCATCAATCAATCCAAGCTGGCTATAGTTTTCAACCAGCGATGCGAATAACCAACACTAAGCCCAGCGACCCTGGCGGCTCTTAGTATCAGATTCGTCAGCTGGTCTCGTCTCAGCCGATCGAACGGCGGCGCGCCACTGCCAACACCACGTCTTCTAGCGCCTGTCGATCAGCATCTGGTCACTTTGCAATTGCGGGAGCAAATCAATGGCGCCTCGAGTTTGGTCATTGTGTACACCTGTAGAATTACGATACAGTATTATATATAGCAAGGTCGACGCCATGTAAGCGTCACCTACTTTAACGTGGACATCGTCACA